TTGCAACATATATGTCTTGTAGAGATTTAGAATCATGTATCAGCCTTGTATAAATATATATATATATATATATATATATATATATATATATATATATATATATATATATATATATATATTGTATTTGTAGGCATATTAGATGCACCCATATTTCGCTGGGTAGCTTCACATATTTGTATGTAATTTTTATTAGCCATTTTATTTTAAAAATGTATCATATGCTTTTAGGTACATGATATTTTTGGGGGGAAAACAAAAAATACTTGAAACTTTTTCTAGAAGTACTATTCAAAACATACTTGGAGAAGTAAGTTTCTACAAGAAATGGGTTTCTCTATGCTTAGGAAGACAGTAGATATGAAGTTTGAGGATTGATGATAAAGTGTATTAGGAAAATATAAAAACCTTTTTGTACATCTGTTGCATGTATTTTACATCATTCAGAATTTAATAATTCCCCCAGAAGGGCAAAGTATATGCCATGTTCTCTTTAATTCTAGTTTACTAATGGTTTTTACATAGAGATGGCTTCAGAGGTGCTTAGTCACCTATGAGTCAGTTGTTAGTCCTACTTCTCACACATGTTTACCATTTTCCTTGATTCTTGGAAAGGTTTTGATTGTTATTGGTATTTTAATAATATGATGATCGTGTTATCAATAATAATTAAAACAGTATTGATATTGGTAGCATTAGAACAAAAATTTCACGCAAATTTAAGAAATAGGGAAATCAGGTCCTGTTATTGGGGCCTACTAGTGGAGCCATCTGAATGAGAGAGAGAAAAAAAGAAATACTGTCGATTGATTTATTTACAAGAGACAAAAGACATTAACAAAGAGACTTGTAATCAATCTTATCTGTGATCAATCTTCCTAACTCCCCTTTTTTCTTCCCATTACAGTGCCAAGCCATAGTGGTAGGTTTCTTGGCATCGGTCGCGGCAGTAGTAATGGGCTGGATCCCCGAGGGCCTCTTTGACATCATCCATGCGCTGCTGCTTTGTGCCTCAGCGCTTGTCACTGCCTCCCTGGCTTCATTCATCTTAGGTAAGGAAACTAAGGGGTGGGGAGGAATAGTAGGGTTAGTGGGTTTGTGGGTGTGTCATGGATTTTCTGGATTTTAGCATTGGGGAAGGTCTCTGGGTCTCTCCTTATTTCTGTCTCCCTGACTCTGGCTCTGCTTATGTGCAGCATCATTATTGTCATTATTATTATTGTTATTATTGTTATCATTATCATTATTTTTAATGTTATTATTATCACTCTTAATAATCTATGTATAGTTTTGTTTCTGTTTACTTGCATCAATATTAGTCTATAGTGACTTAAACTGCATTCTAAAAGAAATGCCCTTCACTTCAGGTGTCATCATGGTCGGGGTCATCCTGTTTTCACGTAAATGTAATATTAATCCCGACAACGTAGCTACCCCTATAGCTGCTTCACTAGGAGACTTGACAACACTTGGTCTCCTGGCTTGGATTGCATCTGTACTCTATGCTTCTAAAAGTAAGTCGATAAGATTTGCACAAAAGATAAAGTTGAACATTAAGCACTATGAAGGTAATATTTTGATTATGTTGTTGGACTCTAAAGAATAAGAAGGGAAATTTATGTTAATCATTCTCTCTTTTTGTTAGACACAGACCAGTGGCTCAGTCCTGTCATAGTTGTTGGTTATATTCTCTCATTACCACTCTGGGTATGGTTGGCCTCACGCAACAAGCATACAAAGGAGGTTCTGTATTCTGGATGGACCCCTGTCATCTCTGCCATGATGATCTCCAGGTGTGTATCTGATTTCTTGTGTATGGATGATTGTATAGAAATGTAGGGTACTGTTTTACATAGTACTTTGTGAAAAGGCTTTCAATTAGGCTAATTGTACCCTTGGCAGTTTTCACATTCTTGCCCAGTGGAAAAGTGATACCATTTTGATGCTTAGTGGAAATTTTGAAATCACCTTGACATGTTCGAAAGGGTGCCCCAGGTTAAAACAAATATATGGAACAGATATTTCAGGACCCCAGATTTCTAGCAGGCAGTTTATTAATATTGTTTATAATGAAAGTGGACAAAGAACTTCAAGAAAGCCAGTAGTCTTTCATGGAATATAGCAATACAAGTAACTTGTTAACTTTATTTGTTTTTGAAATTTTCCTCTTGTAAATGAGTCTTCATACAACCTGCTTTCATTGCAGTCTTGGTGGGCTCATCCTGGACTACACTGTAAGTAGTTACAAAGGAATTGCAGTGTTCCAACCTGTCATCAATGGTGTTGGAGGTAACTTGGTGGCTGTGCAAGCATCACGCATCTCAACAGCTCTCCATGCAGCAGCTCCACTTGGGAAGATGCCAAAGTTTGTGACAAATCTATGCATCAACCCGATTTCTGCATTCTGTGCCAGGGGTGAGTTCACTGTCTTTTTTTTTTTTTTTTTTTTTTTTTTTTTTATGTGGCATTGTGATTATTGTATTTTGCACTTAAAACTGTATTATTATAATTAAATAATAACAAGCCATATTCTAATTGCCAATCAACAGTGGGTCACCCAAGAACGGCTCGTGTGTTGCTGCTCTTGGTGGTTCCGGGGCATCTTGTCTTTATGTACACCATCTCCTACCTGAAGGCTGGCCACACGTCTCTCACACCCATCTTTGTGGTTACTTATTTGCTGGCTGCTTTCCTACAGGTATGGTTCATTGTGTGTGGCTTAGTTAACTAAGTGTGTGAGAAAACTTGTATCTTTCAGTATAAGGGGATTGTTTTATTTATAAAAGAACTGCTTTTTAATCATAGTCCCTCAAAGCCAGACAGCCCTTTTAAGAAAAAGTTGTAAATATGTTAAAATTAGAAACATTTTCTGTAAACATGTTCTAATAGTCCTATTTTGTTTTGATTTTAGGTGGCCATCCTGCTATACGTGGCACATGTGATGGTCCACTACATGTGGAAAGCTTCCATCGACCCAGACAATTCTGCCATTCCTTACCTGACTGCCCTCGGAGACCTTCTGGGCACAGGGCTTCTTGCCATGGCTTTCCACTTCTTGTATGTTGTTGGTGACAGAGACGCTGATGTTGGAGACTAAGTCACAAAATTGTCGTCTTCTTCATTTCCTTTATCTTTATTTCTAACTCTCTGGCTCTCACTATCTCTCTTTTTTATTCAGTGACAATTGATCATGTATTATTGTTATGATAAAGACAGGTAGATATTGGTGGCAATATTCTGATTTTTTTTTTTTTTCTTCTTCTTCTTCTTCTTCTTTTTTGTAGCATAAAATAATTAGGTGTAATAGGTGCTAGTCTCATTAATGCTGTGTCTCGTTACGCTGCATGTTGTTAATGTGTGTGTGAGTTGTGTTCTTGGGTTGTGATTTCACCAGATGAAATATTTGATATTTTTATTATTATTATTATTCTTTAAATGTATTTATTTTCTGTATTTTTTTGTTATTTTTTCATGCTGTAAAATTTGCCCAAAACCAAAAACAAAGACTAGAGTTCGTTATCAGATGTCCTGCATGAGATTTCGCGATATATCTTGTGTTTGTAGACATTATGTGCTTGGTTTATGATTAATTGGTACAAATTTGGTTCAGTGATATTATATTCTTCAACGTATTTACTCTTAACTCTTTGTGTACTTCAGGAAAAGAGTATCACTGAGACTCACCTCTACATCAAGCGAACGATGTACAGTGTGAGTGGGTGATGGTGTGTGATTGAGTGGTTGTGCGGGCCTATCTCTGGGCTTAGGTGTGCACATGCAAGGATTAGGTTTAATCATGTTTATATTACCTTAATCCTGTTGCCCTTTGAATAGGTTGTGCTTTTTCATTATTTTTTGAAGAAATTATTTGACTTGTGTGAGTTTCCAAGAAGTTTTGTGATTGTGAGGATGGTTGGGGGATGCACCTTGGCATGGTATAGGATACAAACGGTTTTTGTTTCTATAGTTGTTGATACACAAAATATAATGTAACCGTATATAACGCACATAATTATCTATATCATGGCTACTACTATTTTGTATGTCTCTTCTTAGATTTTTTTTTTTTTTTTTATAATTATTATTTTTATGATTGTTATTATTCACATTTGCATTTACTTATTCAATGTTATATGAACCAGACTGTTTCAATTTTTGTCATGTGACAAAGCTGGATTATCATCAATTTTCATTATTCTTTTTTAGAAATGTACTTAACTTTAAGGGAAAAAAGAACTTATACACAGAGTTAAGAACCTCAGTACATTTGAACATTGCTGGTTTGCAAGGGATTTCTTTTCGTACTTTGGATGTGCAATACCTGTGATATTTTCAATATCTGTTGAGGTAATGATCTTTAAGGACTAGAAATCAGAGGATGTATAAAATTATGTATGTACAAACTCAGTATATATATATGTGTGTGTATAGGAATATATATTATAGTATATATATATATATATATATATATATATATATATATATATATATATATATATATATATATATATATATAATATATATATATAATACATACATACATACATACATACATACATACATACATACATACATACATACATACATACATATACATATACACACATAAACACACATGTACACACATACATAAATAAATACACATACATATACACACATACACACATATATATATAAACATATAGATATGTACACATATAGACACATGAACATACATGTGCACATGCACACACATACTCACCCATACTCACACATGCTCACACATACACACATACAAACACATATACACACATTTACACACACATTTACACACACATTTACACACAAACATTTACACTCACATTTGCACACACAGTTACACACATGCACACACACTGACACACACACACATATGCATACATAAATTATCTTTCCTATTATCAATCATCATTTTTCTTGTGATTGCAAATCTGGAATACATTAGTGGATCAAAGCTTGACGGAAGTGATATCAATGCTAATTAG